TATATATATATATATCTCCTGGGGAGGATATATTATATGTGTGTGTGTAATATATATATGGTTTTTTTATTTGAAAAAATAGTGGGTTGCTCTTTTGGCTCTGGGTTAGCTCTCTTGCCACTTGCACTTACCTATCAGTACTCCAATCAGGAGCACAGCCAAACCACTTACCAGCAAGTGCCAACCAAGTTAATCGCTTCTCAGCCCAATCCTTCAGCTTTGAATGCATTCACACTTCCAGTGGAGTACATGAGTTGGAAGGCAGTGGCCTTGATCCAAGGAATGTCTCAATGGTAGAAATAGCCCCAGTGAAGAATCTTCACCCTGGGACACCCGAGAAGCACAGCCCTGAGTGGACCTGATGTATGATCTCTGCTTCTGGATATTTCCAGGTATTTCTCCCTCTTCTTGGTTGACCACTCCTTGCCCTTTCCACCTGTTAAGCAGGACTCACTCTTGATGTTCACCTCCGGGGCTTCTGCCCCCACTCCTCCTCCAGGAAAAGTCCCCAGCCTTGCCTGTGTCTCCCTCTCCTGGGATATATGTCACATTCACTGATTGGCCATTTCCCATGTGAAATTTCCTCTCTTCTAGCAGCATTTTTGGAAGTCAGGGACTCCATTTAGTTCATAATTGTCCCCAGMACCCATCACAGTTGGTGTAGAGAGGTTTAGCATTTGTTGGAAAGAAAGATAGTGGAAAGGAAAGTGGAAAAAGGAAGGAAGGGAGGGTGGGAGGGAGAAAGAGAAGGAAAGTATGAATGAAGGAGGAAAAGGAGGATACAGAGAGAGGAATGGAGGAAGRAAGAAAGAATGGAGGAAAGGAAGGAGGGAGAAAAGAATAGGAGGGTGAGAGGGTTGTGCAGGGAATGGGTGTATCACCTTAGGACTCAAATGCACATGGCACAGGTCTGAGGAACCCAAATGCTTCTGAGGATCCTGGGGAGGATCTGCCTGAGAGTTAAACATCAGAGACAGCAGAGCTCCATCTAGCATGCCTGGTTGGAACCAGCAGCACACCCTGGTGTCTTGGGTCACTGGAAAGCTCCTTCCCCACCTTCTCTCTCGTTCCTCCTGATTATGTGGGCACCCTGTTCTGCCAATGCCAGACAGGTCTCAGCCTTCCATCTCCATTATCACCACTGCCCAAATCAGGCATTGCTGTCCTCYGCCTGAAACCTTCCAGGTATCAACTCCTGCCTCCTCGTGGCCATTAATAGTGTGTTTTAATCTCCCATTAATAGTGTGTTTCTTTGTGGTGAGATTAAAAAAAAAATTTCACAGTGGATCTCCACTCTAATAAAGTACATTGTCTGAGGCAAACTCTGGGATTGGTCAGAACCTCCAAGTCAATGTCTCCAAGAGGAAACACACCCATGCTGGGCTGTCAGAACCCCTCCTGGAGCATCCACAACCAACCACACAAGGAATGACCCTAGGCTGTAGCCTGAAATACCAAGGTTTTCTGGGCCTGGAAAGTTCTCTCACATGGAAGCTTTCAAGAGTCAAATGGAGGAGTGGAATCCCCCTGGACCACCTGGTCTTTCTGCCCATGCTTCCACCTGAGGAAGAAGGGTTACTAATATGGTCAGATTGCAGAACTCCACCTGGGCATTCATATGTCACCATACCTCCAAAAGTCCTAGTTCTCCCCGGCTTAGCTGATATGGAACTATGACTGGGATAGACTGAGGTGTTGTACGCTTATCCTCCTCCTTGTGCGCATGTACACACACACACACACACGTGTGTGTGTGTGTGTGTGTGTGTGTGTGTGTGTGTGTGTGGAGAGAGAGAGAGAGAGAGAGAGAGAGAGAGAGAGAGAGAGAGAGATGAGGAGAGAGAATGTAGTCACTGACCTCTGAACACAGGAGGAGGCCATCCTGCTAGGCATTGGGTTTGGTGCTGATATTTGTCTTCCTCTTTAACCTTTTTTGTTTCTTCCTTTCTTTTTTGTTGTTTCTGTGATGAATGGGAGAACTTCACACTCTTTTGTCTCTTTTAAGTTCAAAACCAATTGAGAGATGTAGCCAGACGTTGGTATGATGATCAGTTTATGACATGGCTTAGTATGCTGCCCTCTGCAGAGCAAGTTTCACGCCTGGCACAAGCGGAGCTGCCACCACAGAAGCTACTGTTCTGAGTTAAGTCTGGGTCCATGTAAGGAAGGTGATAAAAGATAAGAGGCTAAACCATCAGGAATCTGCCTATCTCAAAGGTGATCAGACACCATGGAAGTAGAAACAACAGGCTGAACACTTGATGACTGGGACAGGTGAAAAAAGAAAAAGGTTTTGGTGATGGGGGAGTTGTTTCCTTTGTTTTTCTGAGGGGAACACCCAGGAGGTGGGTTGCCCAGAAGGTATGAGCAACAGGGCAAGGGTACAGCTGTCTGGGTCACGGTCACACAGGACAGTGGGCAAAACATAAAAGTGAGAAGTATTGCAGGTAACTGGCATGTCAGACCAGGAGCTTAGGTGGGAGCCTACCTGGGGACGTAGATATAGTCACTATTTGTATAACTGGAAGGCTATGATTATGGAAAGATGTCCACAATGGAACACTAGGGAAGCCAGCGTTGAAGACGCAATGTGAAATCCTTCTTCAGGTTGCAAATGATCTAATCTGGGGCATGTGTCATGAACGAACTCCTGTTTTAAGGTGATGAGCAGGTTTTACAAGCTAGATCCATCAGGGAGAGTCTCAACAGCCTTTGCTGTGGTCACCTGCCYTGCAGGGGTTCTGTAAGGACCTATATGGCTCTCTTCTGGACATAATGTATAACACAGAGGCAGAGAGAAACTGCCAAGAATCCCAGAGCAGAGGTGAAGGGACCCTGACTGCAAATCCACTAGCTTCTCCTTGCTTCTTTCATTGAAACTTTTATTGACTACCTCATTTGATCCAAGGCAATAAGAGAGAATGTAGAATTTGCTATTCAAACTGGAACATTTGGGGAGAGAGGGAATGGTATTAATAATGATGCTGGTATAACAGGCAGGCCTTTTCCTGTCTCCCACGCTGAGACTCTTCACTGTGGTCAGGACAGTCAGAGATGAAGAGTGATGTGTGTGTGAGAAAGAGTTAGGGGAGCCTGGGATGAGCATGCAGGGGTGTGGGGAGAGGGCTGACCTTGGTGGATACACAGAGCTGCAGGGTTTAGGACAAGGCTGGATTTTCCAGTTGAAGGAGGTGTGTAGTGGAGAGTGCTGGGCATTTCTGGCAGAGGAAATGCTCAAAGAATAAAGGAGGCACAAAGGAGCTCCTGGGATACATGCAGGAAACAGGTGGATTGACTGCGGTAGAGTCTGGGAAGCTAGAGGGCGAGATCTAGGCTACGAAGAGTCCTGTGAGCGAAGGAAGCAGTTTAGATCTAACTCTGTAGGCAATGGAGAGTCCTGAAGGGTGGCTGCAGATGTGAGAACTGCAGGATTCCTGGACTTGCTTGATCTTCTCGAGCCTCAGTTTGCTCCCCTGCAAGACGGTGTCTTAATGCCACTTGGGTTCACCCAGAGATGAACCAAAAACAGTTTTGAAAACATTCTGGGAAAAGACTAAAGCATGACCCAGAAGGCTCTAAGTATTCCATATTCCACATCTCAAAACCCAAGGGTTCAGCATCGCTTGAGATGCAGATTGTAACACAATTTCAACAAAGAATAAATTTACTATAAAGTGGATCCTTTCCCATATGAGCAAAATAAACTAATGGAAGGGGGAGTCCTCTCCTCACCAAGGCCCATTTCTGGGTCTTTCATGTCTGGCACTCTCTTGGTCTTGCTGGAAAGCAAGACTGTTATGAGAAATGGGGCTCCAAGTGTGTGTGAAGACTTGGGGTGGGGCAGAGGTCAGGGAAAACTATATAGTATTTTTGCCTCTTCTCCCATCTTCTACAATAGCCTCCTTGGTGTTTTTTTGTTTGTTTGTTTGTTTTTTTGTTTTGGTACAGGGGATTGAACTCAGGGCATTCAACCACTGAGCCACATCCCCAGCCCTATTTTGTGTTTTTTGAGACAGGGTCTCACTGAATTACTTAGAGCCTCATTTTTGCAGAGGCTGGCTTTGAACTCGTGATCCTCCTTCAGGGATTATGGTCATGGGCCACCTGCCTGGCCTACAATAGCCTCCTTCTTATTCCTCGAATGCTCCAGGCAAAGTCCTGCCTCAGGGCATTTGCAGTTGTGCTTCTTGCTGCCAGCTGTGTAGGCACCCATGACTTCCTCTGTTATTTCCTTCAGGTGTTTGCTCAGATGTCTCCTCTCACTGAGGCCTTTATTATCCTAATTGAATCTTGCATCCCCTTTCTCCTGATGGTTTTTCTCCTCAGTACTTATCGGAATCTAAATATAAACATCATTTTGCCGTGTTATCTTGTTTGTGGTTTGACTCCTCTGCTGTGATCTACACTCCATGAGGGTGAAGATGCTTGTCTGTTTTCTTATCTGATCAGAGAAGGAGAGCAGACAGCTTTAGCAGCTGGTAAAGTTTGGATGTGGGGTGTCTCCCAAAGGTCCACATGTTAATGGTTGGCCCCCAGCCTCTGCTGCTACTGGGGAGGTTCAACTTTTAAGGTGTGGGGCCTGGTAGAAGGAAGTTAGGTCAATGGGGATGTACTCTTGAAGAGGCTATTGAGATCCCAGCCCTTCCTCTCTCTTTGCTCATCTCTGGCCACCATGAGGTGAAGAGGCTTCCTCTGCCATGTGCTCCCATCATGATGTACTACACTGCCATAGACCCAAAGTAATAGGGCCCCGTGATCGTGTATTAAAATATCTGAAACCATGAGCCAAGACAAACCCTTCCTCTATATAAGTTCTTTATCTCAGGCATTTTGTCACAGCAATAGAAAGCTGACTAACACAGTAGCTGAAAATATTTGTTGATGGAATGAATGAGTCCTTTCTTCATATTTTGCAGGTGGGGGTATCCAAACACATTGTAGTATGAAATTCACAAAACAGAGCTATGATTTGATTTTTGTTTATTTGTGGCACTAAAAGAAATAGTGGACAGCTGTGACTAAGAGCAATTGGCTGGTAGCTCTTGCCTCACTGAGAAAGTTTAGCAACATTAATCAGACAACGCAAAGTTCCCATTCTACCTGATGCCTGGATCTGAAATAGTTATGAAACATTAAAATGATTTCATCATATTTTGTTTTTTTCACTAAGAGATTTTATTTCATGAACTCCTCTTGATATCTATTACTCTCTTGTTTTCCTTCATTTAACAAAACATTTTAGAGATATAGGTGAAAAACTATGGCTGTGGTTAAACTTTCTTATAAATACTGGTGACTGAGCACCGTGTGCTGCAAGAGGACTATAATATAATACAAGGGCAGCCACTGAACTGTTGGAAAAAGCATCAGGACCACATCCAAATCATTAAAACAGAAACACAACTTTGACCCAAACTGTGACACACAGGTACCTAACAGCCTCACTTCTGGGTGCTCTGCAGGATTTCAGAAGGTTCCAAGCCACTTCACCAGGCTCCATACTCAGGTCCCTGCGGAGCAGCCTGCTGTACTTCATAGCCTGCCAGGGAACGTCTGTCCACATGGGGCACTGACCATCTCTCCAACACCATCCTGATACCTTCTATCTGCTACCTTTGAGGGCCCAGAAATGCCCTCTCCACACAAGTAAGATTGTTAGTTTAGTGGAAGTTGTCGATTTTTTAAAATCTTAGTTGGTCCAATCACAGCCCAAGACCTTCTATGAGGTATCAGCCTCAAAAACTTGAGGAATAAAAATTGAATCGTTTTATTACCCAACATGAATTATCTTTGGAAAAGCCTCCCAATTCTCTTCTTACTCCCCAAATGCATAGCATCATGTGGCATATAACATTCAGATTGTTTCTCTTGATTTACGGATTTTTTTCCTCTAAAATTCAAAAAATTTTAAACAATTCAATAATTTTTAACTGTCTATATGTAGTCAAAGTCTCCAAGGTCCAAAATCAATCTAAGCCATGATTCTTTTCACTGTGCTCAAAAATATAATTAAGCGTGAGTGCTGGGCTCCAGCATTTATATTTCCATTAACCTGCCAACAAGAATAGTTTATTGGCAACTTTAAGTATTCAGAGGCAAAACACATTTCCTTGGCACACAAGCCGCATAGCAAAGCAGCATTTTCTCCTCCTTTGAACCATTATGCAGGAACACTGAAAATCAACTGCACGCATTTTGGCCTGTAGACAAGAAAATAACACCAAATCTTGAGGTTCCTTGTCACATGGAGTCCTTGAGTGATGATTGGGGGTGTCTTATAGGTGAGTTTCTGCAATTATCTGACTTTTACCAGTGATTCACACRAGCAAGGGCACCTGTAAAGAGGATAGATGTATGGTTATTCAGGATCTGTGGATAAGCTGAGGCTCTAGACCAGTGCTCAAGGACCCGTGTTCCTAACTGTCCTTGTAAACAGTGCTCGTGAAACACGCTGAGACCTTTTACACTGACATCCATGATGCAATCTTCTTAAAATAAAAATATGCCTGAAAGCTTTCTGTTTTTTTCTCTTTTAAAGTTTTTTTATTTATATATGACAGTGGAATGCATTATAATTCTTATTACACATATACAGCACAAATTTTTCATATCTCTGGTTGTATATACAGTATATTCACACAAATTTGTATCTTCATAYATGCACTCTGGATAATAATGATCGTCACATGCCACCATCATTTCTTACCCCATGCCCCCTCCTTTCCCCTCCAACCCCTCTACCCTATCTAGAGTTTTCTATTCCTCCCATGCTCCCTCTCCGTATCCCACTATGAATCAGCCTCTTTATATCAAAGAAAACATTCAGCATTTGTTTTTTTGGGATTAGCTAACTTCACTTAGCATTATCTTCTCTAACTCCATCCAGTTACCTGCAAATGCCATGATTTTATTCTCTTTTATTGCTGAGTAACATTCCATTGTGTATATATGCCACATTTTTAATCCATTCATCTATTGAAGGGCATCTAGGTTGGTTCCACATTCTAGCTATTGTGAATTGTGCTGCTATAAACATTGATGTGGCTGTGTCACTGTAGTATGCTCTTTTTCAGTTCTTTGGGTATAACTGAGGAGAGGGATAGCTGGGTCAAATGGTAGCTCCATTCCCAGTTTTTCAAGATATCTCCATACTGCTTTCCATATTGGCTACACCAATTTGCAGTCCCACCTGCAGCAGTGTATGAGTTTACCTTAGGACACTGTACAATGGTATCCTAATGGTTTGTCTCTCATGGCTGGAAGCAGGGCTCTCTGAGGCAGGAATCAAGATGGCCTCACCACTCTATCCCCAACACATGGACATCTGAGTGAGCAAATGTTTGTGGAGTGAGTGAAGGAATGAATGCGAACACACAAGTTCCTGTAACACTTGATGAAAAAAAAATTTTCAACTGTTAGTTCAGCCAGGAGTCCTCCTGTGATAACCCAACTAAAAGCTAGATTCCTGGGCTTCTGAAGGAAATAAGTTTAGTGCTTCTAAAGGCAAAAATTAAACCATATTTTCAAGTAAAGAAATGGATTCATGTGAAAAGACACCGGATCTCTTGCTCTTTCACTGAGTTCAACACATTCTAAGTTGAACTGTACTATAACTTGGGCCACTGCATTTCACTTCTTCAGTGTGCCAAGTGAAGCAAATATTCAAGGATGCAAATAGATTTCTCCTAACATGAATGACCACTGCCACCGCAACAGTACCCGGGATATTTCCTGTGTGCTTCCCATGTGATGAATGCCATTGTGAGTACTGTACAAATCCTATGAATATCAGCTCAACTTAATAAATGATGCATTATTTCCACTGTTAGGGGTATTGCCACTAATATAAAGATGACAAAATTGAAATCTAGGGAGGGCAATTTGCTTCTAATCAAGTGCTTATAAGTAGTGACCCACAGGCCACCCAAATAGAGAGCAGGGACCTTCTGCCCACTCACTCACACACCTCAAATGCTTCTTGTATTCACAAGGCCCACTAGCCCTCTGACCTCCCAGCTCCATTAGCACCACCTCCACATTCAGTGGTCCCCGCCTCCTTGGGCAGCCTTTTGATGAAGCTTAAGATGAGGTATGTGATAGCAGCCCATATAATAGCATTTCTGAAGCATCTTTGCTCCAGGCATTGAGCCGCCCCTGTAGACACTCTCCTTCATTTTGTCCCTCACAATAGTCTTAACAGGAAAAAAATGAAGCCCCAAAGGCCCTGAACACCTGGGAGGGGTATGCGGATAAGCCAGTGTCTATCTGACACCGATGCCAGCTGGGCCCACTTTCCAACATCTCCACACAGCTCTCTGCTCTCGTTTCCCGCTCTCGGTCCTTCTTCCAGGACTCTCCAAATCCACAGCTTTAATGACTACCTGTAGGAACACAAGGGCTCTGCTCTCACTATCCACTCTGCTGGAGGTTTCCTGAAGACCCTACTTTCTTAACAACAGCAATGTCATGGGCTGCATGTTTGTGCTGCCTTTGCCTTTCCCCCCAAATCCATCTGTTGAGATTCTCACTCCCAGGGCAATGGGATAGCAGGTGGGGCCTCTGGGAGGTGAGGTCAGGTCAGGAGGATGGAGCCCTCATGAATAGAATTAGTGCCCTGACAACCGAGGATGGAGGAAGCTCATTCCCACCTCCACCATTACACTCTTCTACCAAAAGAAGCTACCCTCAGTGAGGAAGTGGACACTTGCTGAACTTTGGATCTGTAGCACCTCCATCCTGAACTCTCAGCGTCCAGGCCCATGAGCAGTTGTGTCTGTTGTGTATAAACCACCCAGCCTGGCATTTTCTCATAGCAGCCTGAATGGACCAAGATGGAGAGGCACCACCTTTACTTCCAGTCCTACAGCTTCACTCTTCTCTATATTCCATAAGTACTTACTGGGGCACGGACTTTAGGGTTGGTGCTGAGGAGTCATGAACAAGATGGGTGTGCATGGTCCTCTGCCCTCCCAGGATGATGCTCTAATGGGAAAATGTGCAAATGACAATCGTGTGGGAGTGAGTGATGTGCAGGGGAGGCAGAGGTAGTGACAGACACTTAGTAGGAACAGATGTCCCTGGCTTTGGGGCCAAGAAAATATTTCCTATAGGAATGACATTTAATTGAACAGCTGTGAGACACACAAATGGGAATTGGCAAGTGGCATTTATGGCAGAACAAAAACATGTGCAAAGACCCTGGGGTAAGAAGGATGCAGGCTGGGAGAGGTCAGCAGAGATCTGGTTGTGCAGGAAGGTCCTGTCATGGTACCTGCACTTTGTGCTGGAGAAGAGAGAGCCACCAAAAGTAGGGGAGGGACACTACTGCATTTGCTTGTGGTTGGGGTATGGGGACAAGGCAGGGAGCCCCAACAGGGAGCTGTGGCCACAATGCACACTGAAGATGGACTCAAGATTGTTGGTGGGAACAAAGTGGGGAGAAGGGCAAAGGTCAAGGGGTACAATGGCCAGGGCTTAGCCTGTGCCCAGAGCAAGTAGATGCTTGACAGAGATGTGGCATAAGGGGAGGTGGACCATGGTTGTGAAGCACGGGGTGAGGAGTGTGGGGGGGAGCAGGGCATTGAGACAGATGGTTCAATTCTGAACCTGCTGAGCTTGAGGCTGTGGGCCACATAGTATGAATATCAGGGAAGGGCTGAAGACATGGGTATAAGGCATAGCCCAGGACCAACTTGTTGGGGATAGAGAACTTGGGGTCACTGGCATCCAGGTGGTGATGAGAGTCACAGTGGAAGAAGGGTATTTCTGGAGTGGTGAGTAGATCCAGAAGAGAAAGAGGCCAAAGGATCAACTCCAGGGCTATAAATAGGATGGACAGAGGAACCTGTGCCCATGGAGAACACATGTCCAGAGAGGAAGACAAGCATAAGAGGCCCTAATCATTGCCTAAAAGCCCCACCTCTGAACTTTACTGCATTGGGGATCATGTTTTCTAAACACAAGCTTTCTGGGGTGCATTTCAGATCCAAACCATAACAACGAGAGAATCATACAGGTTTGAGTTCCATAAGGTTAACTAAGAATGGGAAATGAAGACTGTAGGCCTGCTTGCTTCCTTCCTTCCTTTCTTCCTCCTCCCTCCTTTCCCTCCTCATTCCTTCTTTCCTTCCCTTCCTCCCTCCCTTCCTTCCTTCCTTGCCTGACTGCAATGGCTGGAACTTTCATCAGTGTGCTGAATAGAATCAGTGAGAGACAGACATTCTTACTTTGTTTTTGTTCCTGGGGAAAATATTCATTCTTCCACCTGTGAACTGTGAGGCCAGCTGTCAGTTTTTCCTTGATGCCCTTTATCAGACTGAGCAACTTCCTTTCTCTTCTACTTTATAGAGTTTTTATCAGAATGGATGATGAATATTACCAAATACTTAATGTGTATATTGAAATAATCATATGACTTTTTATGTTTCTTAGTTTTTAGTTTGGTAATGTGGGGAATTATTTTTAAATGTTAACCAACCTTGCATTCTTGGGATAAGTCTCTCTTGGCCATCATATATTATCCTTTTTATATACTGTTTTCTTCATGTAATATCTTTGGTTTTGGAATCAATAGTAGTGGCTTAATAGAGTAAGCTGAGAAGTCCTTTTTCATATTCAATTTTAAGAAAGAATTTATACAGTAGTTTGGGTGTATGTTTGTGAACTCCTCATTGAAGTCATCTGGGCCTGCAAAGTTGTGTGTGTGTGTGTGTGTGTGTGTGTGTGTGTGTGATAGCACATGTCCATGTGTTGTGTGTATGTGGATTTCTAACTTAAAATTCAACTTAAAAATTTCTTTAACAGATACAGAGGTATTCAAATTATGTATGCTTCTTACATGAGCTTTGTGTTTAATAGTTTTTGTTGTTTGCAGTTTGTTCATTGCATGAAGTTGGTCACATTTTCCTTATGATGATATTCTCTATTTAATATTGGTAGAATTGATAGTGATATTATGCCTCTCCTTCCTGATATTGCCAAATTGTCTCCATTTTTTTTCCTGCTAAGTCTGGCTACAGGCATATCAATTTTATTGGTTTTGTTAAAGAACAAGCTGTTGGTTTAATTGATTTTTCTTTATTACTTTTCTCTTTTTATTGCATTGATTTCTGCTGACCTTTACTACTTATTTTTTTTTTCCTGCTTACCTTGGATTTTAGTTTTGCTCTTCTTTCTCTAGTTTCTGAAGGTGAAGGTGAGGTCCCTCCTGGGAGACTTGTCTTTCCTAATGGAACAATGTGAGGCTATGGAATCTTCATTACACACATCTTATATTGTGTTCAAGTTTACATTCACTTCAAAATACTCTTTCTATTTTCCCTTTGATCCTTTTATT